CTAATGGCAGATGTCTGTATGCATTTAGCATTGTTTTTCCCTGCTGTCCATCCCTATCAGACTCATTTCTGGGTGCTGATCTACCAGTTAAGAACCACTGTATCAGATGTAATGTTCTCTAGTCTAACAAAATAGGCCACTTGCCGGTGAACTGGACCAAAGACTAGAGAAAAGCTTTTTATAATGTCTGAGGAGCGCCAACTCTCACTGTTCCGGATCAATGAATTGCAAATTGGAAGATAGAGACACGAAAATGGCTTCTATCTTTGTGAATTTTCCTCTCATTGATTCTATACTTTAGGCATTTTGTTTCATATGATGAGTTGTGATGTTTTAACAATACAATCAGTATCACAAGCATACTCAATAATACATCCATTTCTGTTTCTCTCTCTCTCTGCTTATTCATGAGACAATGTTTGTATGCATATTTGACAATAAATCTGATTTGCATGCATTCATAATCCCTCCCCTGACAAAACCCATTGCAAATGCTCCCTATATTTGCATCATAGCTTCAGGCTATAAGCTGTAACCACAAAATTCACATCCAATTTAAAACCTTACAACACCACAGCCTATTGAAATTAATCTCACGAGCTCGCTCCCTCCCAACAGTCCTCTCAGACCGGAGGCCTTTAGCAGTGTACACATGGCCCTTCAGCTGCAGTGATATTGGCAGGGGGCTTCGTGAGGTCTCAACTCGTGTTTCGGCCCCATGTGGCGGCACACTGACAGGTGGGATTGCTGCAGTGTTGCTGTGGCAGTAGAGGCTTACCATTTCAACGCTAACAAGAGTCAAATACCCAGCAGCCGAGGAGAAATCCAACGCCGACCTCCAGGATAGGATAAGCGAGCAGTGACTTACTTAGGCTTTGGCAGTGCCAGCCTGGCTGATTCACAGATTTCCTTTCATTTCACACCTTCTATTGTTCTTTTATTCATGCTTCTTTTTCAGTTTCACTATGAAAACATGCTGTAACTTTGAGAACTCAAAGCTTTGTCTACAGTGAAAAAAGATCATTTATTGAAACAAAGATGCAAAAGCAACCTGTTCCATTTCTGAAACTTTCTAAGGATAGACTGACAGACACATGAATACAGGACTCATGTAACCCCACCAAAATTTACACGTGAACAACTCATATTTTGTATTCACAAACTAACAATTAAGGCTTCTTTTTTTAAACATTAGCAGCTGTAGAAAAATGGCTGAAAAAAAAAAGTAAAAAACTTGACACTACAGGGGTTCCAAGCTTTAGATCTGAACTGAAAACTCGAAATTCATCTTATTACTGGATGTGAAGTGAATGACATGTATGTGAAGTGAATGGCATTTTTTGATCAACATATTTTAGGTTGTGCTGAATTCATACTTCACACAGATCTGGGCAGGTTGTATTTTTAGGTCTCAGAGATCTTAGTGATAGCCCAGGTGAGGAGGCTTTTTTAAAAATTTTTTTGTATTTTTCCAAGAGGTAGTAGAAAGACAAGACAGTGAATCATAAAGAGACTATTCCCTCAGGAAAAGAAACCAACGCAATAGAAACAATTCAGCCACAGCCAGAATGGTTTTCTGTTCTCGTTGATGCTCTGGGAGGGACCACAAGCTGAATTTAATACAGAAAGAGAAGTGGATAGTGTAATTTACAAGGCAACCAACATTACCTTCTTGAAAAAACAAAAACAAAACAAACAAACAAACAAACAAAACAAAAAAACACATAAAAGAAAATAAATTAACAACAACAACAATTGATAATGATACTGTAACGCCCCTGTGGACTGTTTGTTGTGGTTTCTTCCCTTTGTGTTGGTTTAGCCCGTCTAATCATTAGTTAATAACCATCATTGTGCTCACCTGTCTGCCTCTAATTATTCACCCCATATTAGTTCCTGTCTGTCTGAGCATTGGTGTCGGTTATTGTTAATGTTACCCCGAGTGTGTGTCTCACCGCCCCTGTGGACTGTTTGTTGTGGTTTCTTCCCTTTGTGTTGGTTTAGCCCGTCTAATCATTAGTTAATCACCGTCATTGTGCTCACCTGTCTGCCTCTAATTAGTCACCCCTTATTAGTTCCTGTCTGTCTGAGCATTGGTGTCGGTTATTGTGAATGTTACCCCGAGTGTGTGTGTTTCACCTACCTGTACCTGCCTTGTTGTGTCTACATTAAAAGTGAGTAGTGGAATTCTTGTTGTCCTCGTCGTCCTGCCTGCCTCCACACACCCGTGTCCGTGACAGATACTAATATTAATACTAATTATTATTACTATTATTATTCCCTCTCTATAGTTACTATAGTATAATTATGTGAGAACATTAAAAGCAATAAAAACTTTCTCTCTTTATATATGTGTGTACCACTGTGTATACAGTATATATGTGTGTACCACTGTATATATATATATATTAATTCTCTCTCTCTGTAGGCTTATAATGTTATTAATAATCCTTAACAGTATTGTGATAACATAGGGTAAAGGGGAAAACCACATTTTGATTGATCATACTAAAATATTAACTTTTGACGGGCCATAATGTACTTAAATTTGTTAGCTTGAGTCATGAGTTGCTCCAAAAACTGCTAAAACACATGGCTGGGTTATGATGCACAACCGTCCAAAATGTATGTAATTACACTGATGTAAGCCCTAACACTCTCCTGTTCCTGTGTATATAGGTCTATAGACTAGACGAGGCAGCTCAACTAAAAATCCACATGCTCTATGAATCTAGGTCAACAGACACAAAGGGATTGTTTAACTTGGAACAGCCAAGAAAACAGGATTCTCTACCTGTCATGCCTATTTCTCATACATGCGCAAGCAGAGTTATTTTAATCATTTGTTATCCTCGTAGTGAGCAGCATCTACCGGTTGCCATGTTGCGCCTATTTTAACACAGTTTTGACTCTCTCTCTTTCCAAATGTCTGCTAAACTGTGGCTAACCCCAATTTTCCCCCTGACTCTTTACCTTCCAAAATTTTTGTTTGTATAAATCTTATATATGATTTTTTTTTCCAAAGCCACTTTTTTTTTTTTTTTTTACTAAAATTCAGGGTTTGGCGG